GGTTAGGGGATTCGGAGAGACGCACTGAAAAAGTTAAACTGAAATTGAAATGGTTCCAGTTGGTGGAACCATTCCACTTTGTTCATGTCTAAGTAATGGACTTAGCTGTGCCGGAGCGGTGCAATGCCTAGCGATGACGTTCGCTTCGAAATTCACTGGTGATTTCCGCTGGAGACGGAGATGAACTCCTCGTGCCTAACACATGAAAATCGGGGGTCGAGAGAGACAGCGGAAGAACTCACTGGGCCGTTCAGGCTGCAAAAGATGCAAATGGAGACGTCGCTAGCGCCTAACCGGGAACTTCGAGGAGCACCAGCGATGCAGGTAAATCACAAGATGGACTTCAAGAAGCACACGATCTTTCGAGACACGCCATGTATTCGACCACCACTTACAGTCTTGATAGCGTTCGGATAAATTCTTGATGGATTTCGAGGGACGAGGATTCTAGGGTATTGGTATTAGAAGAGCGAAAGGATGAAACACCCAAAGATGCCAACTCTTCTGGAGGCTCTCCATGCATTCGCCTTGTTTTCAAAACTTCAATGGCGTTTTGTTTCCAATTTTATAATTAACCTTATCTTCGATTCAATCTTTAATTATCTTTTTCTAAGGGATTTAAGTATCGGTTGGCTTAGGTGGGAGCCAATACATGACCGATCGCGGTAAGGTGGCGTTATCATGTGGTGCTACACCAGTTGCCACTGCACCATCTCCGCCTGTATGCCATCGCCTTGTCCCTGCGAAGGCTCCAAGAAACTTTTACGAGTTAAGAAGTTCATTATTCAACCACACCGGCACCTGATTTCGAAGAAATCGTGCGCAAATCTAGCTCCGAAAGGATGGCGCCTGAATTCGAAGGCGCCATTCTGCTGTCTGGATGGCTGGCCTATAAACGTTTATTGACTTGACCGCAGTTCAGGTGAGGATTTTCGAAAGAACGCGACTTCTCCCGCTAATGAGATTGAACTCGTTAGGGTGCAAGATGATCATGTAAAAAATTGGCGAAATTTGCAGAGACCACTCCAGGGAAACCCGATGATATTGATTTCGTTCCCAGAGCGGTCCATCATCCAAGCTTTTTGTCAGGTTTCCCTGCAGGAAGAAAGCGAATACGACTAAAGTGTACCCAGTAGGACTTATGGGAACCTCTATTGCTTCTTCCTCTCTTCGTCTCTGAACAGCAGCTCTGAAATTGTCTGATATAGGAAGTTTACCGTATACAGGGAAGGCCAAAAGGCACTTTTTTCCTCGACCTTCGAAGCTAAATAAGTCACACTTTCATAAATTCAGACTCTACACTTCTACCACCAAATTCAACAACACATTGCACACGATCACGAAACTCCGCCACAGCCTTCTGGACGAACGCCATCGAGAGATTCTGCCACGCGACCGTGATTCGGTGCCTGAGTTCAGCGAGGTCGTTGATTTCTCCGCCACTGTAGACCACCCTGTTGAGCTCCGCCCGAACCCGGTAATCGAGGGGGTTTAGGCAGAGGACACACTTGGATATTCCGCCTTGTTCAGGTCTCCCAACGCCCTTCGGTTCCAAGTATTCGAGAGTTTTTCAACGCCCTTTGATTCCATGTGCTGGCACCCAATCCTGTAGCAGTACGAAGTTTCCAAGATGGTACAGGCGACGACATGAAGGCAGGATATTCTCCTCGAGTTGGTCGATGTAACCGTCAGCGTTCACTTCCAGTCCGGGGTCCACGAAGAAAATATCGGTCTTCCCATTCCAGGAACTTCCGGTCCATACCATCAACCCGCGCCTTGGCGACTGCGGTGAAGATGATATCCTGGACCGTAGCGACGTTGTCGGAGCTGCTCGATGTTGGAGGTCTTCCAGATCAAGAGTGCCGGTCTCCAGGTAGCTGTCCATGGGTGACTCCATACAAGAAGTTTCGCAGCTGTTTGGAGGTGACGTGAATTCCATAGGCCTTCTCCAGTCAGGCTGCGATTGGAGATGGCTTCATATTTTGGTGTACATGAAGGTGGGTGGAGAGCCTGCTCCTGCTTATCGAGGAACATCTTGGGTATCTTCCGCCCTGGTACTCGTATCCATGTCTTCTCTCTGGGCTGCGTAAAATTCACTGATCTGTCCCTCGCACTGAGTGTTACTTTTATTGGCCGCCCCTGTAGACCTGCGGAGGTCAAATGATGCACAATTCAGTGTTTTTTCCTCCCAGGAAAGTTCACTTCCAACAAATCAGCACTGGAAGGGATGACAGTCATGCTGGGCGAGGCGTGGATTGAGCTTCACCCCGGGACTGTACGCATACCAAGCGGTCACTTGCCACTACACCACCTGCCCCTTTTCATTAAACATTCTTTGAGGAATCGCTCAGAAGGAAGGCAAACGTCTAAACGTTTGATGTGATTACGGACAGCATTTTACAACCATTTCTTGTCTTCACTAGGAAACGCTGTGGAAAAGTGTGTCAGGAAAATCGTATTGTGTAAGCAACTTTGCAAATAGCGTCCGGCTCCATTTTGGATTGTTCCGAAGTGGGCAAGTATAGGATGGTCTCTTTCATCTATTGCGTAAGTCCAATGAAGTCTTTACCAGGGTAAAAGCGACACAAGGTTCCCCCTACCTCGCTGGAAGGCAGTTTTTAGGGGGAAAAGGGGGGAAGATCGTGAGAAAAGATCCCTTGGTGCCTAATTCAGTGGGTTCGAAACCCCTAGTATGCTATAGCTCAGCTTCTCCCACCTGACCATATGAGAGTCACTCAGCTCCCGCAGGTCGAGATCAAGTTTGCTATCGAGTGCATTTACAACCTGAATGGTGGCAAAGTGCATGGCACACTTCAGAGGGATCGTTAGACGTTGAAGATCTTGCCCTATATTTTTGTGGATAATTTCCCCTAATTCATTGCTCGAAATACCTGCAAATGAAAAACTCGTAACACAACGCAGCCCACGAAATACGATTTTCCGGATAAAGTTTTCGTTTACAGCGACTTTTGATCAAGAACAAAAAAGGCAGTAATAACGTCTGCAATTACTGTTTACAGCGCATTCCCAAATGAGATTGAAGTATGTCTCCAAATGGGAATGAAATTTGAGAGAGAAGGTGATACGTGTCGCTTCACCAAAGGAAAAAAAAGCAGAGAGACTTCAAAATCGCCTTAAAAATGGCCGTATTGCCTTTTTTGTCATCAGCAATATCGGAAAGAAAATGACGAATCCGCGAGCTACCTCATTCAACAAGGTCTCTGCGCCGTGCTTTTCTTCTTTCTTACTCTTCTCTTCTCTTCTCTCTTCTTCATGGGGTAGGACTAGTGGGCCAGACCAATGCTTTTAATTTTTGAAAGACAGAGAAAGGTCAAATTCTCCCACGTTTGCTGTTCGCCTAGGGAGGGAGGGCATTTCTACAGCGGCTTGTTTCTGGCTGCACCCTGCTTGACTAAATGTGAACTTTTTGGGACTGCAAAGACGCACGAGTGAGCTACTTCAGTTACAGGAACATACACGTCACTACAAGGAGGTGTGTACAAGGTTCTCTCTGTATTAGTTGATACCCCCACCAATTCAAAGTGGACCTCCTCCCAGCGATCGATGGAGAAAAGAATGCCGACGTTCCTATTCTACCAGAAATAAAGAGCTGGTTGCCTCGCCTTTAAAGGGTGGCATGGTAACGCCCGGACACTCGCTATATTACCAAGTAGACTTCGTGAGAAAAGAAATGACGCGTGTAAAAATTTGTAGGATACAAATCAAAATAACAAGGAGGCGTGGTGGCAGAAAGCTGCAACACTCCTGATGTAGAGATGGGAATATACAGAGAGAGAAGGAAAATGTCATCCAAGGTACAGACTGATAGCATGGGCGGAGACAGAGAACCATTGTGCCCTCTTCATTGGAGCATCTTTCTAAGGCAGTAAATAGGTTGAGGAACGCACTGTGGTCCACTGCCCCTGTCGTTCGGACAGGAAAGGGCGCTTTTTGGCTTGAGAAGAGAATTTTGCGCTTTCACTAACTTCTCTTTGCTAATTCATGCTAACCATTAGGGCTCAATTTGGTGGGCTTTGGTGCGAAATAATGCAAATATACTCCTTTGATTGAAGAAAAATTCTTAGCCTTAACACGGTGACTTGTGCAAGTTTCAATGAGCACCATTTGGTGCCCCGACCAAGCCGAACTGCGCCTAGGAATGTGGCTCTCGGACTGCAAAATAAATAGAATTCGCATAAGCCGTCGGATTTTTCGGGCCCAATCACTAGGTTCTTCATCCGTTCGTCTTTTAGAAAAAGAAAAATGGGGTGGGATCCCCATCTTTAAGTTCTTTATAGCAGAGAGAGTAGAGAATGCCACTGTATTCTAAAAGAATCACCTACCGGGGTCTCAATATTGCCAAGATCGCCGACATGTCGATTCGAGTCATCGGGAGCTCCGTGCATCATTTTATATGGGTTGAAGTGTGGGCCGGCCGCCACACAACCATCTCCCAAATCGCCTTTTTCATGAACATGAAATCCGTGAAGGCCTGGCTTCAGGCCAGATACGGTACCGTTCATCTGAAATGAAGATGGCGTTAAAGTGATCGCTACCACCCACTCTAAGGCTAAGTAACAAAACAGGTTACCTTGACCAGAGTGCCGGTCTGGGTGAGATCTATGATCCCGATCGTTTTAGCAGGATTGCCTCCTTTTACAGCTTCGAAAATGTAAGCACGAGCTTTGAGCACTGAAAACGAATTCGTTAGTCCATTAATTTACTTCAGATCAGACCAGATTGGATCGATTAACTATTCATTACGCTGATCTACTGGTTTACCCTGAATGAAACGAAGAAGTGGCAGATCGAACGACTTGAGTGGGCAACAAAGGGTTGACACCGGATCGAATGAGGTGCTACTACCTAAGGAATTACAGGAGCAGCGGCAATCGCTATATCCAGTCGTGTAGCCGTT